CAATTCACTTAGTTTTTGATGTATGCTATTTAATTTTTGATAAAAAGAGAATATAATAGAGTTCACCTCAATGATTAAATTGCATAGTGTAATCAGAAAAACTGAATAATAATCCCACAAGGTTGGCATTAAAACTTTCTTTCTATTCAATTTAGGCTGGTTTTTGTTCCCAAATGTCAGGCAGCAAATATCTAAGTTTAAGCAAAACCAGTTGGTTTGAAAGTTTCTTAACCCAAACAATAACAAAGTGGGGCACAGAACTGCCCCAGCCCAGGCTAGAAATTTGCACATACATTTTGTCGACAAAATACTACTTGCTTATCTATGTTCTTGGAGATATTAAAGACATTCAGAGTGTTAACCGCTTCATATTCATGACTGATATTGCAAGAGATAACACGAAACTTCAGTAACCATAACATGTTGGTGGACTCACATATTAAATTGTGCAACAGTACACATGGAATGAACTGTACTGTCTTGTGTTTATCTCTTACTTAGAATGATACAACCCTTGCATGCAAACCAACCTTGTTCAGCAGAGGTAATACATTAATCTGATCGATTTTATGTCTGAGTGTGGAGCTGGCAAGGCATAAATGTACTTACTTTTGGTGTTGGGCAGGATGCAGTGGAGAGACGAGATGTGGCCTGGGCACGAGGAGATTCTGAAGGAGTAGTACTGAGGGAGGCTGTATCACGTGGGAGCACCTGAACACCACGAGAGATGATAGAATCTGGAATCTTAAAAAAAAAAAAAGAGTTGGAATTAATATTAAAAACATACTTTATTTAAGGTGTACTCAAAGCCTTACATCAAAAAAGTAGGAATACCCCATTCCTCAGTTTGCTTACAGGCAGTGCTGGCAGTGGTTAATGGCATGTTCTCATAATTTCACTAACAAATACCCAGGAAATATATAAGATCATATTCTAACTGAAGTAGCATAGAACATACTATTTGTCCTGAAAAACCTATGAATCAGACACACTACGACAGGAAATATAAGAAAGTAATGTTTTTCCTCTTAAGTCTCTGTTTCAAACTCATCAGTGACCAACAGTAATTTCCACTGTGGCATGAATGGAGGCAGACTTCCCATTCTCTAGCTAGGGGACAATATTCTGAACAAAAACCCATTTATTAGCAATCACTGAACCCCTCTAAAGAAATGTCATGCAGTGAAAAAATTTCTTATAAGAAAATTCATGCAGTGAGTAAATACTCTTCATTCCGTGTGCTGAAGACTTTATTTCAGCCATAAAAATTCTTGATGTAACTTTCGTGCTGTAAAAGCTACAGACCTCTCTGGAGTACAGGCAAAAGCACTAGAAACCACAATCCAAAGTCAACACTTGGTTTGAAATGGATTCTGAAGGGAATTTTTTTTTTTTTTCCCCCACATAATGTATTAGAAGGACAAGTAGGAAAGTGTATCCCCCTTGATGAATGTGACTGGCAAACTGGAAGCAATGGACAAGAAGGCTGAGGCACTCAACAACTTTTTTGCCTCAGTCTTCAATGGCAACCTCCCTTCCCACACCTCTTGAGTGGATGGACCCCAAGGCAGGGACTGGGGAAGCAAAATCCCTCCCACTCTAAAAGAAGATCAGGTTCATGAACACCTGAGGAACCTAAACTTACATAAGTCTATGGGACCTGACAAGATGCATCCCAGAGTCCTGAGGGAACTGGCTGATGTAGTTGCCAAGCCACTCTCTATTATATTTGAAAAAGTCACAGCAGTCAAGTGAAGTCCCTGGTAACTGGAAAAAGGGAAACACTGCACCCATTTTTAAAAAGGGTAGAAAAGAGGACCCTGGGAACTACCAAACTGTCAGCCTCACGTCTGAGCCTGGGAAGGTCATGGAACAGATCCTCCTAGAAGTTATGCTAAAGCACATGGAGGATATGGAGGTGATCTGAGACAGCCAGTGTGGCTTCACCAAAAGCAAATCTTGCCTGACCCACCTAGTGGCTTTCTATGATGGAGTGACTGCATCAGTGGACAAGGGAAAAGCTACGAATGTCATCTATCTGGACTTCTGTAAGGCCTTTGACACAGTCCCCCACAACATCCTTCTCTCAAATCGGAGATACGAATCTGATGGGTGGACTGTTTGGTGGATGAGGAATTGGTTGGATGGTTGAATACAGAGGATAGTGGTCAGCAGCTCAATGTCCGGATGGAGATTGGTGCACCCTCAGCAAATTTGCAGATGACGCCAAGCTGAGTTGTGGGACTGACATGCTTGAAGGATGGAATGCCATCCAGGGGGATCTGGACAAGCTTGAGAAGTGGGCCCATGAGAACCTCGTGAGGTTCAACAAAGCCAAGTGCAAGATCCTTCATCTGGGTCAGGGCAATCCCTGGTATCAATACAGGCTAGAAGGATGAAGTGATTGAGAGCAGCCCTGGAGAGAAGGACTTGGGGGTACTGGTGGATGAAAAACTGGACATGAGCCAGCAATGTGTGCTCGCAGCCCAGAAGGCCACTAACTGTATCCTGGGCTGCATCAAAAGAAGCATGGCCAGCAGTTTAAGGGAGGTGATTCTGCCCCTCTACTCTGCTCTGGTGAGACCCCACCTGGAGTACTGCGTCCAGCTCTGGAGTCCTCAGCACAGGAAAGACACAGACTTGCTGAAGCAGGTCCAGAGGACGGTCACAAAAATGATCAGAGGGATGGAACACCTCTCCTATGAAGAAAGGCTAAGAGAGTTGGGGTTGTTTAGCCTGGAGAAGAAAAGGCTCCAGGGGAGACCCTACTGCAGCTTTTCATGACTTAAAGGAGGCTTACAAGAAAGATGGGGACAAACTTTTTAGCAGGGTCTGTAGTGATAGGATAAGGGGTAATGGTTTTAAACTAAAAGAGGGGAGATTTAGAATAGATATAAGGAAGACATTTGTTATGATAAGGGTGGTAAAATGCTGGCACAGGTTGCCCAGAGAGGTGGTAGAAGCCCTATCCCTGGAAAGATTCAAGGTCAGGCTGGACAGGGCCCTGAGCAACCTGATCTAGTTGAAGATGTCCCTGCTCACTGCAAGGGGGTTGGACTAGGTGACCTTTAAAGGTCCCTTCCAACCCAAACCATTCTATGATTCTATTCTATGATTCTATTTCTCAGCTAGAATTCTAGGGACAGATTCTTTAGCTGGTATTATTAAGCCACTTAAATAAATGGAATTATACTAACTTACAAAAGTGAGAAAGTGGTCTTATTTTCAGTCATAAAAGGGACTCTATCTTTATTTTTTATCTTCTCTCTCTTCTGTTCAGTTTTATCACCAGTTCCAAATGAAAGAGTTTGAAGAATGCATTTGAGAATAAAGCTTTTCTTAGCTTTAGTATACTGAGTCTTAGAAAGTCTGTTGCTTCTTATTACTGCAGTATTTGGGCTCATTCATGCAGGTATCACTCCAGCTTTATAACTGACTAGATTGCTAGTTTAACATAACGATCAATTTTTTATTTTTTGTGTAAAATGTTAACACATACAAATGAAAAATACCTCAGATAGGAGAACTGATCCCTAAGATTAGTTCTACAACACAAAATGCAGGAGATATTCCACTATAAATTCCGCTGATTTTGTTTTCAGGATTTTAACCTCTTACTTCTTCTGAAGCAGCACTTCTACTAGATCAGACTGCTTTGACTTCCTGCATTCATTTTTCTATCCCAACAAAGCAAAGAGAAGCCACTGGAAAGTTCATCCTACCAGTAACAAGTTTGAATCCTAGCTTTTAAAATCTGTTGCATCCTTAGGACCAGTGTCAGGATACTGAACCAGCTTTGTTGCTTATCTCTGTGCAGTTAAAATGACCAATCTTAAGTCTCAAGTCATTAAATACTGCTTTTTAATGTCATTTTTTTCCTCTCAACTTCCTTGGTTCCCATCTATAAATAATGACTACATCTAACTCAGCAACCTTCACTTAGAGATACTGGGTTATACCTGGGGGATCTTATTTCACCTTAAGCCCTCCTCCACAGGTTAGAGTTTCTCATGTTTATAAGTTGTGTGGTAACAGATCTTGTTCTCAGTGTGCCACCAACTGCCTGCTTTCTGCTCTGGTGCTGTGTTTCTAGACTGACAGTCAATTTCTGTTAGCATTTTAAACCCCCCAACTTTCCTCAGAGGATCTTTCAAGGCTAAGTAACTTGTGCTGCAATTTCCACTATAAATTATTAAGTCAGCAGAGATTCTCTTCACTATGGATGACTATTCCGGGGATATCTTCCTCTCCAGAAACGGTGTTTAACTGGCCTCTACTTGGAGTATTCTGACTTGCAAATAGCATCTTAGAGACGTACTATAAATAGAGTTAAAAAGGGATGATGATATTCTGATCACGCAAACAGTTTGTTGTCAGAAGCACCATTTCCCTTTTGTTCTCTTTTTCTCCTGAAATACTATCTTAAACATGTTAAACACAAGTTTTATATTGGCACAGCTCCAATGCTACCTACAACTTTTAATGCTTCCTTTTAATCTCCATGACTAAGGACAATACAGCAAAAACTTACATTTTGATAAACACATAAAAAAGACATAGTATAAGAAATACTATTTTAAAATCTTCAAATGAGACACCTTTTCTTTGCCCTCCTCTGATAAAAAGCTGCACGTATCTTGATATGATTGTGTATGGGTCCATTATCTGTTTTATATATTCCAAAATCTCACAATATTAATACAAAATTACTTTTGCAAATGATAACATAATCCAGTTTCCCCTGCATTTACTCTGGTTACTCTAAAGTAACCAGATATTACATATTGTCTCATCCCCTTCAGGCAAGTAACTGTTTTTTGGGGTTTATGTTGACCATACCCATCAATCATTGCTTTTAAAATTTTATCTGATATCACCTTTTCCAGAACAAAAAACCTCTCTGCAACAAAGTTACAATTCCAGTCTCTGTTGAATTGCATGTGAAATACAATTTTTTTCCTGTGAGAAAATTCAAATTTAAGTAAAAATTCAGTCAGGATATTAATCAGAAAAGGAAGCTGAAGATAAAAGGAAAAGAAGATTACAGGCATTTCATTTAAATGAGAATTATTCCCTAATCACTACCTTTACAGAAAATGCAATTGCCATAAAACAATCCATATATAAACCTATCTAGAATTCTTAAGTTTTAGCTTGCTAGCTTTCACAGACACAAAATCTCCCCGAGAGAATTAAGTTAATTCACAATTACAAATTTTGTTCTCAAGAGGCCTATTTCTCTAGCATGACAGTGGAGTGTGTTGTATTGCTAAAACCAGCATTAATATTCTCTTTAAAACACTAAAACCTGCTGATTCAGAGAAGGACCCATACATATACTGCATAAATCTATAAAAAATGCAATGGATATATACTGTTCATTAAGTGAAAGGAATAAGAGAATATGATTTGTATTTCTATGCATATATGTTACGTGATATGGAGAATATCTCATTTTTCTAAGCTATATTTAATAAGTTTTTTCCTTTTAAAATTAAATTTAAGCAATCTAAGTCTCTAATCAAGGCAACTTCTTGTTAAATCTGTTAAAGAGGTTGATAAACCCATAAGAAATTTCTGCATTTCCTGGAGCCTGGAAATCTGCAATAAAGAAGGGCAGGAATATTATTGTGTTTTGGAAATAATATTTTTTTTTTAAATTTTCACGAAGTTACACTCTAAGTATTTATGATGTCTCCTTCTAAAATGTTTCAACTCATTTTCCTGTTTCAAACAAATTTAATAGACGGTAGAGGTCTCAAAACTCTAAATGGGGTAAAAATAAAACTCTAAGCTCAGTGAAAATAGTTACTGCTTGCACTAGCTGGAGTGGAAAACTGGTTGTAACATACTGACTGAGAAAGAAAAGAATGAGAAATGAATGAAGTGACAGAGAAAGATATCCACCATATCCATCAGTCATTGCTTCTACAATTTTTATGTGATATGACTTTTTCCAGAAGTACTTTTATATTGGTTTAAATATTTGTGTTTTCAAATTAGAGAACTAAGTGTTGACAAGAAGAGGAAAAAGGAAAATATATGAGCTCTTTATTTTCTTTTGCCCAGGACTGGAACAAAGATTGACAGTGCTGGTGAGGTACTAAGAAAACAAGCGATAGACAGTAATTACTATGATAGTTATATAAAAGCAAAAATGTCGTAAAAACATAGACAAAGGACAGCTTAAAAAAACCAACAATCTTCTGAAAAACTAGCCACCTCCCGCTCTGGGTTTGAAGATCTGATTTGGATTATAGAATGCATAAAACAATAGCTCAAGAGTTAATTTGCAAAAGGGCACAGAAACCGGGATGACAGCTTAACAGCATGCTTCAGAGAGGCTGAATTCATGGTTCTACTGATACTGAAGAATATGGTGCAAATTCTAGTTAAGTAACCTCAACTCAAAAAATGAATTTATTGGAATAAATGTGTGTGTATGCATGTACACATATATAGCTTTATCATCAGCTGTGTGAACTTTAAATCCTTCACATTTCCTAAGTGACTTTTCAAGAGACATGGTCATCATGTTTTAAACACAGAGGTGTTACACTATTTGACTGATGGTTTAAATGACTATTTGCCTAAGGGAACAATAAAGTGTAGCCTCTGGTCATCAAATCTAGTGACATATTTTCCCAAGAACTTACAGCCCATTTGCTGGCTGACATGGAATCAATGGGTCAGACAGCACAACTCTCTCTAGACCAACTGCCTTCCTTAGTTTTCTCTAATCTACAGTTATGAATACAGTAAATTACATTTCATTCCTGATGATACTGTAGCCATTATTCTATCTTGATTCAAGCCTGGACTAAACCTTTGGGAGAGAGAAAATAAAGTACAGTATTTTGTTAGAGCCCAAGTTATAACCTCTGGGTTACAATAAACTAAGTCCTATGTACCATTCATTGAAATAGCTGCCTACTATTCACTAAAATCCAGTAATTTATAATAAGTTCACTGTAACCTGACTCCTCAAGTCTTTCTTCTGTTTTGGAGAAATTCTACTTCTAAACAGAATACAAAAATCGGGGAGAAACTGCAAGTGATGAAATCAAACTATGAACACCCAGTGCAAATGCTGTTATTATGCTGACAAACAAACTATTTAGAGAAAAAAAGCAAAGCAAGGCAAACGAAGGGGAAGAAATTACCCAAATTTCATAGCTCTAAAGCAGTAATTTCAGGAGATTATTTTAATTATATTAAATCATTGAGTATATTAGATGATAAAGCTGATGACTAATCAGAAACACAGGCTTTATAGCAATGATTATCTCAGCAGCCAAATGATTAAAACTGACAACGGACAAGAACTTTACCTTGTTTAGCCCTGTATCTTAAACAGAGTATTTTCTGTAGCATGTTCTCTAAAAGACAGCACTGATGTGTCTTTGTTAGACGAAAATAAATCACACTGTCTGTTCACACAGTAGACTAGGAGGCAGGCAGTGTATTTTTAGCTACTGTTAGTGCAAAAGCCTCTTGGAAGTGTCTCTTACCGGTTCTCCTGCACTGCCTGCTGCGTGATGGCAATAACTGATGAGACCAGGGATGGGCTGTTCACCTTTTGCCATGATAACAGCTGAACTGGTGTAGGATGGATGCTTCGAATGCACAATACATAACAGCTATGAATACAGTGACAGGAAAACATGAAACTATACAAGCAAATGACCAAAAGGGAATGAGGTGAAAACAAGTGTGACATTGAAATGCCAAGCTCATATGAACACAGCCAGTTTAGATCTCAAGTATTTTCTGCCTTTAAAAATTGCACATATTCTTTATCTTTGCCTGTATCAAAATAAATTAATCAATTTAATATTTTCATTAATATAAACTGAAACTTGCAAGTGATAATTACCTTAATTCATCCCTGTAAAGATATATGTAATCAGGATTTTCTGTACATGAGGAGATGATCTCCAGCTGCAGCTGTCTTAGAAATGTCAAGATGTCTCAGACCTGAATTCACATTTCTGGAGTTAGAATGTTGCTGATTTGGTTTAGAAATGGTTTAATATAATTCTGAGGTACTTAGATTTTCAATTCCCACAATAGGAATTTAAATTACAATTTGTGGAGTAAATATAGAACAAAAGCAGTTTGGAAATAAACCTTTCCAAACACAGAGGAATACACTGTCTTTCCATTTGAAAACTGAAGACATAAAACTGAGGGAAATATTTTGATATTGCTTCAAATAATATGATATTTCTTTGGAAAACATTTAAAATTTGAACTGAAATAATTTGCAAGTGTTATCTAATATTTTCCTTTTGTGGTCTCAAATTTATTATTTTGATTTGAGTAATGCTGATCTATGATTACTGGATAAAGCAAGACTAATGATGACATTTAATTTTACGGCAGAATTTTATATCTCTTATTGTGGACATGCACAATGGAATATAGTAGTCTGGATAAATTGTTACTTAGCCTGTTACCTCTCTATCACAATTTTTACCAATGTTTTTAGAAACCAACATTTTATTTTCAAAACAGATATTATGGCTTAGCAGTTTTTGTTGCGATTCCTTAATATGCCACCTACTGGACCTCGCATGTTCAGGCATGCAAATACTTTGAATTAAAAAAATCCCACTAAAAATAGTCTGTCACATCAGGAGGATATCATAAAAATGCATTTTATTGTCAAAGTAATAAACAACATATCTCCCACTGAAATTTGAGATCACCTACCGAAACAGGATTCATACATTTTTGTGAAGCGTTATTTCTACAAAACGTACCTAAAATACATCTGTTTGACCCCACAGACATCAATGTATAGTCTTAACGTGCAAATGAATACTGGGGGAAAGTAAGTGAGACAGAAACTGAAGGGTCTCTTACGGAAAGAAGCCAGACTCACCTTGGCTGCAATGGCTGCTGCCGTTATATGTGAAGAAGAACTGTCCTCTGTTGAGGCAACTCCACTATCTTTCTTCTCTTCCTCCTCTTCCTCACACTGTACTCCTTTGTCTTCTGTCTGCTTGTGAGGGCTGGTGGTTGGAGGAGGAGAAAGAGGAGGTGGTGGTGAAGGCAGATCTTCAAGCTCATCATGTACCTCCTTTACTTTTACAATGGCATCCCGCAAAAGATCAATGGCGTGAGGTAGGGCTGGCAGTATAAACTGAAAGCATTCCTAAGAGATGACTATGAAAAGTTACCTGCAGAAGTAAATACAGATTTTTCAGATTTATGCTTAAAAGATATTAATGATTTAGATGTATCCTTTCATCCAATCATAAATGAAACCTTAAATGCCCTATGCAATTGCTAATAGAGGGTAAAAGAACAAACTCTGAACCAGAACTGGGGACTGTACTATATATTTCTGTCTTTTTTCATGCAAATATAGTAAGTTGTACAACAGTGCTACTGTAATTAAGCTAATATTGGATTAAAACTTCAGAAAACAAGAGTTAAATTTTCATGAATACATAATACAGAAACCAGTTCACAGCAGTTGTCAGAGTGCTATAAAAATGCAGAATAAAAACATTAACTCTATCCCTGCAGGGATATTAACTTCAATTCATTCCTATTATGTTCCTTCACAATTAAAGAACAATTCATAAGGGTTTCCATAATTATACTTTTATATAATTATATATTTTTTTTATTGATGAACTCATTCTATATACAGGAAGAATGACCAACTGCACTGATGTCATTATAATTTTACGTAACTCAGAATTGTTCATAAATAATCTATTTTTCAAACTTCTCCTTGCTTTACAATCTGAAAACCAGTTAGGAAGTTTACTTTATACGGCTGGAGAAAGTAAAAATGCAGATGATATGTAACTGTTCTTGTTCCATAATGGGCCTACACATATATAGCTATCTCTGCTGCTGAAATATACTAGTGTTTCATCAAATCAAAGAGCAACCTCAGGATGTTACGCGGTGCAGCCTCCTGCCCAGATCATGGTCAATATGAAATTCAAACAGGTTGCTTAGGCCTTTGTTCAGTGAAGTCTTGAAAAAATCCAAGAAGAGAGACTCCACAACCCTTCCTGACAATCTGTTCTAATGCTTAATTATAGAATCATAGAATCAGAGGATGTATTGGGTTAGAAGGGACCCTCAAAGGTCATCTAGTCCTTAAAAGTTATTTTTTTTCTATCCAGCTGGAAGCTACCTTCTTCAATTTATGACTATTGTCTCATCCTCCAACTCAGCACCTCAGTAAAGAGTTTTCTTCATGTCAGTTGAGCAGGCTGTATATAAACATTAAATTATTGGAAAATGATAGCAGGGTCACAAGAATGAATTGCCATGGCACTGCAGTTAGGGAACATACAAGATGACAGAGAAAGCTGACATTATTCCTTTTGTTTCACTTCATTTTTGGTTTTGCTTCAAGCAAAAGGAAGATTTTAAAAAATGTTTTCCAACATTTTAGAGTATTCACAAAATAAATAATGGTAAACATTTTATAAATAGATACTGTAACAAATATTTCCAATAAATAAAAATGACTATGTAAACAAAATAAAGAGCAAATCATCCATTAGAAATTATTGGAATTCATATAAGCCACTTTGTAAATCAAAAACATGACTCACTAACACTGTATTTCCTCAAAGCTTCTAATAACCCATCTTTCAGTCGCTTCTTTAAGCATAATGAAAAGTCAGACTACTTCATTGATCTATAAATTCTTTATACATTCAATCTGACAACCTGAAGAACTGGAGTAAACTGGATGAGCATAAGATGCTGATTATAATGAATATATATATGAAAATATATTTGTAAACATAATAGAGAATTATACTTCCAATGTATTTGCAAACTTTAACGTTATTGTGCCTTCACAGTATTATTTTTTAAATGGTTTAAAATCCTGAAGCATACAACCACCATTACTTTAGTAAAAAAGCAGACCTCAAGTAAATAGTAAAAGAGAACAGTAATCTGTGAACTGACCAATAATCTTGAAAAGGTACATTAATGATTAGCTCATTAGAGAAGCATGTTTCCCACTCCTACCACTGAAATGAAGCCTTGTTGGCTTGACTGTTGATGAACAGGTTCTCAGTAAGTACTCTAAAAGCTCATGCTGTTTGTAAAGCTCATTGTTTTAGGCAATTGTTTGTACAATTTCAATTTACAATGGTAATTTCACACTTTGATCTCTTTCATAACATTAAATACCTTTTGCAAGGCTAAAAGAAAATAAAACAGAGCAGAACAACACAAGAATGGAATTATTCTACAGATCTCGATTCAGTGGTACATGCCACACAAACGTTCTCTGGAGAAAACAGGTTTGGCATGCACTGTGTCCATTTTTGAGATAGGGTATTTATGCTGCTGCCATTTTCTATTAATATTTTAATATTTTATTAATGAAATACGTATACTGCTGCAATTTCACAGCTTTATATAAGCTTTTTATATGACTGTATTAATATGATGGAAAGGAAATTAGCAAGTCACAAAAGAGAGAAATGAGAGAAATTCCTGGTAGCAACCCATCCTATTTGGTTCTTGAGATCCAACTTGTTATGGAACAATTTTCGCTCCCATTCATCTGATACTGAAATCTGATACTTTAAAGATGTTTCATATTAAAACAAATTGTGCCAGAATAGAGTATCATCATGACAGGAACAAATAAATCATCAGTTTATAAAAAGCCTGCTTGTATAATGAAATCATATGACATTTTTTTTCTTTTCCAGCAGAATTACATTTTTTATTACTTACTTTATATTGAACTATAGTTAAAATACTTATTAACATTTTGTCATTTCTTTTCCTCATCCTCTTTCTACAGTTTACCTATCTTCACAGTCTGAGTGCCTCAGGGCAAAAAAATGTCTTTTTTTTTTTCTGTACCAGCATGTTAGGAGTGCTACTGAACACAACAAAAACCATTAGAGATTGTAGGCTATTTCATCTCTTTCATAATTCAACAAAAGAAGTACAGACTTTTGAAAAAATCTCCTTACTATTGCACCACTTCTCTAAGATGTGGGGCCCATCGCTATGTTAAACAGATGTACATACCTACAACTTCCCACTCATAATGTGAAGACTTTCAAGTAGGTATACTCCTGCCCCAGCATTCTCCAATGCTTGTTGCATGTTTTGAGGGCTTTAAAATTTCTTTTCAATTACAGAGTCTCACTAGATTTCCTAAAAAGGCTCTAAAGAATGGCAGAATCACAGAAGGGTTCACTGAGTCCTTGAACTGAAACATGCACACAATGTACCTGAAAACCTGTGACGGTTGCTTAAGATAATAGTATTCAAAACATTTCCTCTTCCACTTTCAGGTGACAGCCCACATAAACATTCTTTATTTATGCCCAGAGATAAGTTCTTTCAAGCGACAGTGACTCCAGGGCTGTGCTGACAAACACAGTACTGTCTCCTCTGTGATTGGGAACTACTGGTTCAGAAGACATTGATAAGCTACCAGGTATGCATTTGTTAGAGGTCAGAGGTAAAGATATTTTCTAACAGGGTCACTGACATACTCTGAGCCCTGGAGAAATACGTTCTCGTGACTGATGGGGGATCTACCTTAACAGTTTTCTATCATGTTGTACAGCCCACTATTCAGCTTAGCAGTATTGGTGTAGAGAAGGTTGTTTTTCTGGATCTATCAGCCAACTACACAGAAAGAAAGAGCAGTGGAAAGATCTAGCCCTACGAACACACACAAAAAAATTCCTCCTGATGTTTAATTGTGTCTCTCTCAGCTCTACAGGCAGAAATGAAGCATGAGTAAAAACATAAAGCCTAACTTCCCTATCCAAACTGAGCATAACGCAGGAAGAAAACAAACTGTATAAAGGGTGTAAAGTCTGATACTCATATCCAAAATATTTAAGAAATCCTCAAACTCTTAAAAATGATGTTGCTTTTTTTCCCCTCTTGCTGACCAAAATTGTGAATATTCATCATATTCCAGCAAGTTCTACCACACACACTAGGCCTTCCTCTTACTTCTGTGTGAAAAAGAACACTTTCTTGGAAGCTGTAGACAACACAGACATCAGGTACAGACTGACCAGAGGAGAAGGGGGAAGTGTAAGAGACCATTAGACTCCACATCAGCATTGCCTGCTACAGGGAGTGCTCTCTTGCACTGTGTCCTGGTCACACAGTACCTTCAATCAGATCAAAATTGTATCACCCCTGACTGAGAGTGATGGGTGTGTTCAGATATGAACATGCATTTCAATTCACTTTTGTAAAATTTGTTGTAGTGGGTACTTTCTACCATTTAGAACAATGGGAGGCACTCATCACGGGTCCTCAGGAGCAGATCAGTAAGAACACTTCTTACCTGTGACCCTTTCTTGCTACCTGGCAGATTAATTATGAGAGTTTTCCCTCTGATTCCACACACAGGTCTGAAAAGAAAGAAACTCAGAGTGAAATTCTTGCATGCAGCTTTCTCCACTATAGAAACAAGAACAGAGCATTTAAGATAAATACTATTATTTATCAGAATTTGTAAACTCAGTTTCCAGCATCTAAAAATATTTGCTGATCATGTTCTCATAAAACAGCTCAGGAGAAGCTGAGCTGAAAAAGCATCAAACAAGGCTGACAGAGTCTAACATTTAATTGAAAGTATAAACACTGGCTAGATTTCTATTTTTTTTGATCTGTGTAGCTCCCTTAATTCTATTGTTTACTTGCATTCAATACATTCTTTGACATAGTCCCTATTTGTTCATATACCTGGTTCCTTTGTAACGTAACTAAAGGTGTCTAACACTATTTCCCTTGCCAGGTAAAAATACTAACCAACATGCTGGTTGCATTAATTCAAATATGACTTTTTTTATTTTTATTTTTTTTTAAGATAAGACATAAGAAAAGCACAGGGGGAAGTAATTCTCAAGTAAAAATTGCACTTATGCAATTCATATCTTATTCTTCCCAACAATCTTTCCTTCCTCCTCAAAAAAAAAGATGAAACCAACTATCAAAGTTGGAAGATTTGATTTTATTTTTTGTCTTCAGGGAATTCCTTTGGTCTTGATGCAGGGATGAACTTAGGCATCCAAGTGCTGAATGGTTTCTGTGTTTTACAGTTTGCCTCTTTCTCCTTTTAGCTAAATATTTGAAAAAAAAAAAAAAAATTACTAGATTCTGACTTGAGGTTGTAAAGACTGTCTCCTGCTCTTCTCCACTGTTTATGAAACCAGTGATGAAAAGCTTAGGGCTAGGATATACGAATAAGAAAAAAGTAAAAGGACAAAACCAAACCACAAAGATATGGAGACTACAGTTGAGAAAAATTGTGCAACAATCTCTTTATCAAAAACAAACATGAGCCATAAGTGAAGACAGAATAAAAACGAAAGCGATCTTTTGATAGGGCATTACCAAAAATTTTGAGCCAAAGGACATGATTTTTGGGGTAGCCAACTTCCCTGGATTTCTTCTTATACAAAAAATTCTCAGTGATTAATGTCATTTATTGGTAGCATGGCATTTTCTGGCAGGGTAGCAAGTATCCCAGTGACAGCTGTCATAATGCTCACAATTAAATAGCCCAGAGACCGTTTTTGTGCCACAAAATGAACTTCTGATATCACAGTCAAGCCAGCCTGAAGAGAAGTCTTATTTTCAACTGGCAGTTTGAATACTGCCTGACTGCTAGCCTGTTTTCCCATACTCACTTCTTGCACACTATATACCCTGAGTTAAGAAAGAATTCCAAGTAGTTGAGGAATGTTCCATTGAAATGCAAAGGTGAAGAGCCTGAGTGAAAGAAATGTGCTTATTTCCTCTTGTTGCAGTAGTCAAACTTACAGAGTACAACCTCCAGCAAATTCCTTACGTGGGACAGAGTTTATGGCAGATTCAAAATGGAATTCAAAGGAAATAGGAATTATCCACAGAGGAATTAAAAAGAGGTAGAACTGTGTTTGGGAGATAGCTCCTTTAATAATTTTCTTCTTGGCTTTTTTATTCTGCTTTAAATAATTTTGAATATTATAAGCTAAATGACCAGTACAACAAACCAGTAACTAAAAAGGACTAAACCAGCAGCCGTTCTCCTGAAAGCTTCAAGTTTTGGCTGCCAGTAATCACATCTAGTGGCTTAAAACAGAAATGCAGCTGCCAAAAACTTCTCAAGAGAGCATGCAAAAGTAAGTAAAAGTATCGAAGAATCGCATGGCTTGCAAAAAATATTGTGTGTGCTCACAGCATAAAACATTCTGGGTAATTTGAGAGATAAATTAATGATATTCCTCCAAATGTTGAACAGTTGAGGGAAATTCTGTGGATCTTATGTTATCCTCAGCCTTGTGATGCAGTGGACAGAAATTTTAAGAAAAAACAAAGAAGTCTGAGAAAGAAGAATATAAATAGGAGCAAGGGAGCGGAAGGAAAAACAGGACGCGGGAGTGCCCTGGTTTTGTCTGGGACAGAGTTGATTTTCTTCCTAGTAGCTGGTATAGTGCTGTACTTTGGATTGAATGTGAGAATAATATTGACAATACACTGATGCTTTAATTCTTTCTAAACACCAAGTCAAGGACTTTTCAGCTTCTCATGCCTTGCCAGCGAGAAGGCTAGAAGTGCACAAGAAACTGGGAGGGGGCACAGCCAGGAGAGCTCTCCAAAACTGGCCAAAGGGATATTCTATACCAAATGATGTCATGCCCAGCATATAAACTGGGGCAGTTGGCTGGGGGGCAGAAAACCACTGCTAGGGGACAGGTTGGGAATCAGTCAGTGAGTGGTGAGCAATTGCATTGTGCATCACTTGTTTTGCATATTATTATCATTATTATGTCTTCCTCCTCTGTCCTATTAAACTGTCTTTATCTTGACACACAAGTTTTACTTTTTTTCCGATTCTCTTCCCCATCTCACTGAGTGAGTGGAGGAGACGAGAGAGTGAGAAGCTGTGTGGTACCATAGTTGCCAGCTCAGGTTAAACCATGACAGGGAGAAAGAAAAAATGGATATGGTAGGAAAGAAATACAGGTCTGATGCAGAAGTGGGAATGGAGAACATAATCTCTTTGGGAAAAATACATGATCTCCCTGGGAAGAGACTATGCTGGTAAAAGCAGATTAGATGGGCAAGGAGACAGAGAGTGCTTTAAAAAGCCTCAATAAAGACTGTAATGGCATGTGGAGTTGTCAGGTAAGGAACTGAGTGAAGGGAAGAGATAATTCTGAGACAAGGACAGTTTTGGAATGTCACAAAGAAGAAAAGGAAACACTTTCAGGAAACACATAAAAAGGTCTATGACGCTCTAAGATACACCCTGCTGGATCTTGGGACTGAATCTGAGCTATGAGAGTCTCTCTGCCCCTCATTTGCCCATAAGTTTTTGTGAACATTTTGTGAATAGTCTATAAAATAACTCACTGCTTCCTAATGCTGGCCCATAGTCAGGAAGAAAGCCTATAACTTATAAAAATTTTTAAAAGTTCATGTGATAAAATTCAACATAATTGACCTAACATTTCCAAATCTGCAGGTGATTTATAGAAGTGTCAGTTTAATGTTGCATAATGGAGCTTCTGCTTTTGTTTTTTTGAAAAGTCAAAGAAATTACATGCAGAACTATCCATCAGAACTCCATTTAAAAGTTAAGTCAATGAGAAGTAAGCTTAGGACAAGAAAAATTTAATGTTAAATACTTTGAAAAATTAGGATCCAAATTTCTCAAACTGTGTACCTAAAATTAGTGGATGTTTTTGACCTCTCTTCATGTGTGCCTTAGTTCTCATGGTAAGGGGGTTTACAACACTACCTCAGTTTGCAGAATTTTCTATGAAAATATATTAACAATTTGTGTCTTATAATAATATATGATGTAAGAAAAATCCCAGAGGAAGTGAGTCTGCATTCAGAGTCTGCGTTCTGAATAAAGAGCACCAAAACTGACACAGGATTACACATAGGACAACCAAAACAAAGAAGATCAAATTTCCTTTCTCCATCTTAAGCATTTGCAGAGGAATTCTAAAAAAAAATGTAATCATAACAAATGAGCATGCATGCAAAACTGAGACTGCACAAGAAACCATAAAGCTGTAATTTTGTAATTTTTGTGTGCTTTATGATCTGAATAGTGTTCTAAGAAGGAATTTTGAATGCTGATTACTTTTAGGTCTGAAGTAAAGGTTTTCACTGAGAAATTTTTTAATTTGATAGCATGCAGATCTTTGCAATGATATCTCCCATCACTGACATCAATTCCTACTGAAAGTGGCTGTTGTTTAAGGGACATTTTCTTACTATATGTACAGAAGGGTCAGGTTGCAATACAGCATTTTGATTCCACTACCACTGCAACATCCTTTCACACTACATCCTAAATCAAAGTTGCTAGTCACGTCTAAATGGCTATCCTTTTCTTGATCAGAAACAGAACACCTAAATTAACCTTTTCCTCTCCTGGTGGCAGCACTCTTGTTATCCTTGCCTTTCTGACAAACACTAACTATAAAAAATTAGATCAGATAAAAAAATGAAAATACTTGCTAATTTGGACAGAATCTGAAGGCGTTAACTTGGTAAGGTGGCCCTTTCAGACATGTGATATGAAAAGTCTCATCTAAATGTGCTTTAAAAATGCAAGTATCTGAATACAAAGTTGCAGATTTGAAAGTTCCTTCTTTACTTCTTTTATAATTATTGCTATTTGCTTATTACAAATCTAAAACCTGTAACAGCTATTATTTCTTAGTCATCTTGCAATAATGTGCAAGCATAAACTAACTTATGAAAGGTATTGATATTACTAAGTCTATCATAGGTAAAATGAGGTAAATGGAAGGAATGAACTAAAAAACAACTCCAGAAAGAAATACAGGATGATATTGAAAAACAAGAGATGCCACTGATAAAAAAGAAACACCAACAGGCAGAGAAACAGTTACTAATTATTCAGTAGAAAATGCCAGACCCTAGGAGTTAAAGTACTGTATCTGAAAGCATGGTATAAAATACCATGTAACTTATTCAGAGCTTTTGCTGATACTGGAATAAAAGCAGTATCAAAACAATACATTTGTATTTATCAAAGGTTTTTTTTCTAAACAAAGCATTTTAGTACTTGATGAACAATGTATAGAAGAATTTTTCACTCATCACTGAAATAACACAGCTCTAGGATGAAGACAGCTGTTTAACAGCATGCATCAATATTACAAATAACCCAGCACAGAAAATACAGCAGGATATAGTGTCTAATGGAGACAACAAAGGGAATTAAGTGAGAGAATACAATTACCATTCTTGGAATTTGGACACTTCTCTGAAATTAAGACTTCTAGTCTTGATAACAATGGCAATCTTCAGATATTTGTGATAGCCATTTCATGACAATGGATGACTATTTCTAAAGAAATAGTTCACCTCATATTTTGAAGGAAATAGTCTTACCTAGAGAGCATGCCCAGAGGAGTAACATTAAGTGATCCCATCAGCATTGCAAGGGCCATCCCTGGGGCTTCTCGTTCTATTACTTCTTTAGTGGCCTGCAATGAAAGATTAAAGAGCAAAGTGAGTGAAGAAGTACAAGGACAAGAAAAATAAGAAACCAGCTAAAATTTGAGTAAGAATTTCTCCTTTTTTTTTTTTTTTTGTTTCTGCCAAGAGATGTCCTTGCTACATTCTCAACACTGAAATATGTTAAAGAATTTTCTCTTAGTTGTGTAAAACGGGGGAAGACAAGGGGTTGGGAAGAAGCACTGTTAGCTGTCTTGTAAGGACTCCTATAGAAAATGTTAAAAGTCAGGACCCTATATATGTAGGAAATGTTAACCAACACCACACAAATAACAACAACTCCCTCTAACAGAAAGGAAAGAATGTTTGGGAATAAGCAAAGAAAAGACCAAATGTAACTGCCTTCTCTTCCTCATCAACCTCATGTGCATTTTCCCGTTGAGATTTTCCCAGGCATGAGAAGGGTGAGTCGGTCTGTGCAGAAGACAGAAAAAAAAAATTTGCAAAGGGAAGCCCAGGTAGCAGGCAGGCAGGAAAATAGTAAGATGGTAATGATAATGGCCAGAGGCTGAGGCCTTCCCTTTTGACCATGTCAGCAAAACAGCAGTTCCAAACAGGCTGGTGGCTTTTATTCACAAACAGTCCACATGCAGTGGACACTGAGAAGCCTAGAAGCAGAGTCTGAAAAGTCTTGTCTTTTTAGTCCTTTTTCCACACAAGGAATCAAATGGAAAATTATTTTTCCAGGATGTGCACCACCTTCTGTCCTTACTTCCTAACACAAATTTTCTCAAATGCACAATCTGTCCAGTCTCCCAACTTCTAACTTTAGTTAGGGCATAACACCTCAAAGGCAGGTTACAGTCCTACCCTCTCTTCACTTCCCTCACAGTAGTTGCTGTTCAGTGGATCATCTTGTCTCATGTTCTGAAACAAGATTCTAAGTTATTTGGCACAACTAAAATGTTAGCAATGCTCATAAAACTGTGAAATCCATTGTAAAACAGCCAGCCAAACTGCAACACTTTGATGGTACAGCTATCAAAATAGAAAAGCACATCTTAAATATAAGGACACTCTGAATAAGCTGAATTTTCTTGGCAGTTTGATATAGCAAAATAATAAAATGTAAGAAAACTAGACAAATTATTTTGTGGGAAATATTAAATTATAAATCACATCCTTATACTTTTGTAAGCTCCTAGTTTACAAATAGAAAATAAAGTCATAGAGAAGGAAAAAGACAGAATTAACCCAATAGCATCCTATGAGAATGATCCAGGAGTCCTACACTGGCTACACAGCTAAAACACTTACAGGAAGCAATAAATAAAACAGAAAAAAAATATACCTGAACAATACACATATTCAAGTGGCTATATGCTCAAACATTGCCACTAATATTTAAGATGATTTAAAGGAATATGTCAGTACCAGAAGACATCAGCTAGATCTACCAAGTAAACTTTCAGATCTTTTATTAATAAGCAAACTTGGTATGTGCCCAATGGTAGCTGTGGGAAGCAGAAACTTTGGTTCATACAAAACCAAGCAATTTTAATTCAATATCTGACACCACAGTCTCTTTTATTTCAAACATAGCATTTTGGTTTTAGTATTTGCCATCCTCTACTCAGAAACAGAAAAGGCATATAAATACAATCCAGTGTCTGTATTTTTACACAGGCGAAATGAGAAGCAGCAGGCTAGGAATGATGAAGAGAAAACTAAAACCTCTCCACTGAGGGAGACTGCCTAATTTGATACCTACTAAGGTATCAAATTATCAATCACATTAAAAATTCTTACCACCCATAGACTTGATTATTTTTATTGTATAGAAGAAAAAGGCATTGCAATGGTGAAGGAACACTTTGCTGACAATGAAAAAGTTGGTGAAACTTGTAATTCTCTATCTATCTGTGCATACATAGTACGTCTATATCTATGCCTTTTATTTTCAGCTAATACCATGCTTCAAAGCTGTTCAAAACTGGTTTTAAATATAAGGTGCATTTTGAGATTTCTTTCTTGCCCTTGAGCACAGTGACACTTTGAAGATATCATTAGTTAAAATTCTAAACACGCTTCAAAGGTAGTACAAGATGCAAGAGAGTTCCATAAACAATGATCCTGCAGCTGGGGGAGTCCTTCAGTGAATTTCAAGTCCATTCTCCAACTTCACAAGAAAAATGACCTTCACAAAATGTCACTGCTAGCAGGCAATGTGATTATTAAAAATGTATAGACTAAGCAACAAAATCTGAAAGGGCAGAAAGTCCAAACAGCAGTACATCCCTCAACAGAAGTTTCTAAAAATACTTGTTTCAAAATATATATGCTTATATTTATTACTGCAGGCAGACTTCTATAATCAGGGGAATGCTTCCTATTTTCATATTTGTAGCCTGACTGGATGGATGTAGCCAAAAAGGCTGCTGATAAGTAAATAACTTTTACAGTGACATCTGCTCTTGAAATCAGCCACTGGAAAGTCCACTCTTGGGATGTCCTCAAATAGCACGACTTAAAATGTGCAGTGTACAGGAACTGAAATCACCATCACACTGGGAAGCACACTCTTAATTAGCTATTTATATATGAATGAAATTCACTGTGCTGCAGCGATCTGCAGATACTTTGTGTCTATCTGTAACAACTCTTTGTTTGACCTAACAATGTACCAAAGTGCTGGTAGCCAGGTTTGCTAATACTTCTTTCAGGTTTGAAGGAAGGGTGGAAGAGAGATGTCAAAACTAGATTTTCATCTGTGCCCAGCTCAGGAGTTAACTGCCTGGTACCAACATCTACATGCATGCAAACTATTAAAGAATTAGTGACTCAGCACCTTCACATTTTACTAGTACTCTAGCAAGGCTTAAGTAAGACTGTTAAACTCTGTTTCATGGGCAGTTTTTTCATGCTGGTCTCACCATCAGCCAGCTTTTGCCTGTTGCAGGGGGCTATAGTGTCGGCACAAAATGAATCACAAATCAAGGCCAGTGCCCCCGGCTCTCTTACAACAGCGATGACGACACTACTGTGTGGGCAGAAGCAGGAAAAAATGATGAGACTTCATTCAGAGCTGTCACACTGATGCTTCATCAGGACTGAAGCCATACACAAATTTCTCAAACCTGAAGCTGATGAATTTTCGTCCCATACAAGTAGGTAGAAAATATTGGAGTACCTTTGCATAAAATACTAAAATAACAAAAAGGAAGTGTCACCAGTTTCTCCAGCAAAAGGCAGTAGTGCAAAGAAGACAGATCATACAAGATGGAGGTGGAAGAGAGGGGTTCCACAGAGGTGGAGACATTTGAAGGTAAAAGCAAGAGTTCAGGAGAGAGTCAGAAATGCAGAAAGGACAGTTTGGAGGTTGCAAAGAAAGGCAAGGTTTGTAGTTTAGATGGGAGAAGGGAATGTGAGAAGAAGGAAGATGAGGTAGTATGACAGAATTACAGAGAGGAAGCCCAAGCAGCAGGACTGTCAGAAGGGCAGGGATGACAGTAGAGCAAGGGTGAGTGAATGAAGTGAGTGGGATGGAAATAAGACTGCACAAGGCAGCTTGGACAGACAAAACATGAGGGAAAAACTCAGGAGAAGCAAAAAGGAAGACAGTACACATCAGAAGTGTCAGACCGTAGGGGAACCAGGGAGAGACACAATGGCACTGAAATAAAATGGTAGCTTCTACTCCAGAGAGGAGAAGTAGAGACTAACAATTAAATAATTATTTCGCGGAACTATTCAGGACTTACTAGTAATGTCTATGAGAACAGGTCTTATATTTCATTGGTATATGAATAAACACAATTTATTTTAAAACACATTTTTTATTGTTTTCAAAGTGCCTTTTCATTGGAGTTAGGGCGTTATGTTCCCAAACCCACTGATATATTTTTAGCTACCTTTGACGTAGTTGTGGTTGCTTAACAGATGGCTCGCTGCCAAGCGGTTTCACAGAGTTCTCTGCTGCTTCACTGCCTTTCTTTGCCTCCATATAAATTAAGTTAGTTCAGTTCCTAACCTGTGGAAGCCCTCTCAGGCAGCTTCTGGAGGACATACCCACTGCAGACTGATTTTAATTAAAAAAACTAGGACTACTCTTCTTGAAATGTTAAAAAACTCCTTATCTTTGTCTTTCAGGTATCAAACATAAAAAAGTTTGACCTCAATAGTAAGTAATGATCTGAGACATTTCATATACTCTTCAGCAGTTTTGAGATGGTAACACAGTTTTGTCTCTTCAACTAAAATGCAAATATGAGACTAAGAAGTCATAAAAAATGTGATTAAATTAAGATGACTGAGACTGCTTCCGCTGAAAATATTTCTGTTGAAAAAGTTAAAATCTATGACTCTGCATAGCACGCCATAAAGCTATTTTATGCAAATTAATGGACAAATTTGGAGGTAATTTATATTTAACAGACTACAGAATTAGCATAGATAACATTTTATTACCTATTTGAGCTTTTCAGTGAAAGCAGAAGTCTTTAAAGGGCCAAACCAAAGAAATACCTATATACCCTCTGCAACAGAGCTCAGAGACCATAGTCAAACCTCAGAAGACTGGACAAAGAACTATGGAGATAATGAGTCAAATATGCAACAAAAATGTCATTCACGTCTATCAACCAGTTGTGTAAGAAGTGTGTACTTTAGGAACTAATATTGCATCTCTCAGCTTGGAGATGAGATACCTTCTTCAAGGTTATTCAGTATACCTCTGTTGGAGATAACACGTCTGCCTGTGATTTTTATTCACAAGTCAGCGATTTCAGGTTATTCTCTACTTCCTTACTCTTATTTTGCAGGGGAGAAAATGGAGCTTACACGCAGCTAGACTGATTAGAGCTTCTCACCTAAAAATCACTTATCTTTTTCTTCTCTTAGTACAATAAGAAATACAGGTTGCAGCAGTTGGTTTCTTTAAATGCACTGAAATGTTTTTGGATAAGGATCAATTTTCAGTCACTCATTCTCGCTGTCATGCTGTCTTTCCTTGAATTTTTCTTATGCCCTG